CCCCCCCGTCCAGTAAAACCCTTCTGATAAAATAAGAAGAGGGCGAAACCCCCTGCCCTCAGGGCCCTCTGGGTGCCGTCCGGCCCCTTTGCCGGAGCCCCTGCGGCCCGTGTCATCTGTGCCTTCGCTGGGAGCTCTACTGACCCTGCTCCCCGCTGCGGCTCCCACTGGGGAGCCCGGCACTCACACGTGGGTCGCTGACACACGCGGTCCGGCCGAGGCGGGAGTGGGATGGGTCGGGCCCGGGGCCCCCGCCCACAGCAGCCGGTGTTTCCCTCTCGCCCCCAGTCCCTGTACGTGTGCCTCCCGGCCCTGCTGGAGTGCCCCCCCTTCCCGCTGGAGTGCCGCGAGAGCCGGCGCTCGGCCCCTCAGCTGCCCGAGGAGCTGCGCCGCGTCGTGTCCATCTACCAGGCCACCCTGGACCTCCTGCGGCCGCTGCGCCTGCACCCCGGGATGGCCGCGCAGCTGCTGGCCTACCTTCTCTTCTTCTCGGGCACGCTGCTCTTCAACCAGCTGCTGGACAAGGGTGAGGCCCGGGCGGGCGGCCCGCAGGCCGCTGAGCGCGGCCTCCAGGGGGCCGGCGGGCCTAGCCGTCCCGCCCCGCAGGGCCTGGGCGGGTGCCACCAGGGGAGGATGTGCTGCAGAGCCCGTCCCCGTGGGAGCGGGAGCCGCCCGTCCGCGTCTGCACAGGGCCCGTCCGGCCTCTCCTGGTTCATTTTATCCCCGCGTGGCCTGGGGCCCCTGTGAGCGAGGAGGCAGCAGGCTCAGGGAAGTGACGTGGCCTTTGACCCTGCCTCACTGCCCCCCAGATCCTCCACCGCCCTGCCCAGCGCTCAGGGCCGAGGCAGTGCTGCGGTGCGGGGCAGGGAGGGCGGGGCCAGCCCACGGCACGTGCGAAGCCTGGACAGCGGCCCTCTGCACTTGGAGTCGCGTGGCTGTCACCGCCCCTCCCTGCCCTGCCACCTTCACCTCCCACCTCCATACCCACCCACCCATGCCCAGAGAGGGGTCTGGAAGCAGGTAGTTGTCTTCGAGACTGACGTAAGGTCTTCCGTCTGTCCAGAGGCCTGGTGCGGGGGCGGGGGGGCGCGGGAGGAGGACGGGGCTAGGGCCCAGCCGGGCCTGGCTCCCTCGGGGGAGGGCGGGCAGCATGCCTGCCCTGCGAGGGCTGCCCGACATCACCCTCGTTCCCTCCCTGCATTCCCAGGGCCCTCTCTGAGTTGCTTCCACTGGCCCGGAGGCGTCCAGGCCTGTGCCCGCCTGCAGCAGCTCCTGGAGTGGACACGGAGGGCCGGCTTTGGCGAGGCTGGAGAGTGCTCCTTCCGGAAGCTTTCCTGCTCGCTCAGCCTGCTGGCCACGCCCCGTGCCCAGCTCGTGCAGGTGGGCGGGGTGAAGAGGGCGGGGGGCAGCGGGCGCAGCGAGGATGGGGCGGCACCTTGCACGGTCGCCCTGGGGTCAGCAGCTTGCAGACCAGGAGGGGCTCAGTGGGCTTGCAGTGGCTTAGTCCACAGCTGTTCCCACCTGCAGGCAGGATAACGGCCCCAGGATGTCTGTGTCTAGTCTCTGACCTGCAGCTGTGGCCACAGGGGGCCCTGCTGATGTGGGGAGGTCACCCCGGGGCACCTGGTGGCCCCGTCTAAGCACACGAGTCCTTAAAACTGGGAAAACATTTGCAAACGATGAGACCAACAAGGGCTTAATTTCCAAAATCTACAAACAACTCATACAGCTTGACATCAAAAAACAAACAACACAATAAAAAAATGGGCAAAAGACCTAACAGACATTTCTCCAAAGAAGATATACAGATGGCCAAAAGGCACATGAAAAGATGCTCAGCATTGCTGATTATCAGAGAAATCAGAGAATTGAAACTACAATGAGGTACCACCTCACACCGGTTGGAATGGCCGTCATTAAAAAGCCTACAAACAACAAATGCTGGAGATGGCGTGGACAGAAGGGAACCCTCCTACACTGTTGGTGGGGATGTAAACTGTACAGCCACTATGGAGAACAGTATGGAGGTTCCTCAAAAAACTAAAGATAGAGCTACCATATGATCCAGCAATCCCACTCCTGGGCATATATCCAGAGAAAACTCTAATTTGAAAAGACATATGCACCTCAATGTTCACAGCAGCACTATTTCCAATAGCCAAGACACGGAAGCCACCTAAATGTCCATCAACAGACGACTGGCTTAAGGAGATGCGGTACGCGTATGCGATGGAATACTACTCAGCCATAAAAAGAATGAAATAATGCCATTTGCAGCAACATGGATGGACCTAGAGATTCTCATACTAAGCGAAGTAAGTCGGAAAGAGAAGGAGAAAGACAAATACCATATGATATGACTTCTGTGTGAAATCTAAAAATATGATACAAATGAATTTATTTACAAAACAGACTCACAGGCATAGAAAACAAACTTATGGTTACCAGAGGGGAAAGTGGGGGGGGGGGAGAGATAAATTAGGAATTTGGGATTAACAGATACAAACTACTATACATAAAACAGGTAAACAAGAAGGTCCTACTGTACAGCACAGGGAACTATATCCAATATCCCATGATAAACCATAATGGAAAAGAATCCGAAGCACGATCGTATATATATAAAATCACTTTACTGTAGACCAGTAACTAACAGAATGTTGTAAATCAACTATACTTGAATAAAAGAAAGAGGGAAGCAGAGGAGTGGGTCAGAGAGACAGGAAAGAACAAGGCAGAGGGCTGGCTCTGAAAGTGGAGGACGGGGCCGCGGGGCAAGGGGTACAGCGGCCTCCAGGAGTTGGGAATGGCCCTCGGCTGGAGGCCAGCACAGGAACGGGACCTCAGTCCTACAACCACAGGGAAACGGATCCTGCCCTGGAGCTGCCAGAAGGAGCACAGCCCTGCGACTCTTGATTCTCGCCCGTACGACCTGTGCTGGACGTCCGACCCCCAGAACTGTAAGACTGTGCACATGTTAATCTCACTGCCACCTTCATGGTCGTTTGTTAGAACAGCAGCAGGAAACAAAGACACCAGCTCACCTGCCTCCCTCACCTGCTGTGCGACATGGTCGTCACAGGTAATCAGCGAGACCAAGCCACCCAGGCCCTTTCCTGCCGGGCAGCGACACGGAACCCACCCAGGGGATGGCCAGCGTGTTTGCAGGGCGGCCCCATGGACTCTGCTTCCCACGCCCTGGGGAGCTGCTCCGTGTTTGAACCGCGTAGGGGACCGGCTGCCCCGTCCGCCTCCAGGTGAAGTCCCAGTCGACGTGAGCGCAGCCAGGAAGCCCCACGTGGCAGTGACGGCCACCACGGGCAGTCGCAAGCCACTGCGTGGAGCTCGGACTTGGGCAGAGCACCCGCCTGCGGAGGGGAAGACGAGATGGGGTCCCCCCTGGGGCGCTGCTGTGCACACTGTGCCCTGGGCCTGGCACACAGGCGTGTGCCCTGGTGAACAGTTCCACAGGGGTCCCCAACCCTCAGGCCACGGACCAGTACCAGTCCGTGGCCTGATAGGAACAGGGCCGCACAGCAGGAGGTGAGCGGTGGGTGAGCGAGCGAAGCTCCCTCTGTATTTACAGCCGCTCCCCATTGCTTGTGTTACCACCTGAGCTCCGCCTCCTGTCGGGCCAGCGGCGGCATCAGGTTCTCATAGGAGCGCGAACCCTACTGTGAACCGCGCGTGCGAGGGATCTAGGTGGCACGCTCCTTACGAGAACCTAATGCCTGGTGATCCCAGGTGGTGATGCTGGCACTGGGGAGGGGCCGCAAATGCAGATCATTAGCACAGAGGTTTGACTGTCCAGAGACCGTAATAAATCAGTTGCTTGCAGACTCATATCGAAACCCTGTCAGTGAGCGGCAAGTGAAAATTAGCTCAGGGCTCCCACCGATTCTGCATTATGGGGAGTCGTATAATTATTTCATTATACATTAGTGTAATAATAATAGAAATAAAGTGCACAATAAATGTAACGCGCTTGAATCATCCCAAAACCATCCCCCCTGGCGCCCAGTCCGTGGAAAAATTGTCTTCCACGAAATCGGTCCCTGGTGCCAAACACGTTGGGGACCGCGGAGTTACCAAGCTGGGTGCTTCAGGTTCGCCTGGTTTTCTGTGGTTTTCCGTGGTGTTTGTACTTTAGTACAAAATGCACAGCAAGGAAGGAGCAGCGGTGCACTAGCTGCTCAGCTGCGCCTCTCCCTGCACAGCTGGGAGCTGCCTGCTTCTTACTCTGGCAGAAGACTGGGGTCTATTTCTAGAGCATGTAAGACCGAGCTCGGGTCTCCAGGTTGGGACACGGGATCTCACCCTGAAGGAGGGAGCACCCCGGCGGCAGAGCTCCTGTTGCTGGAGCCCCGCGCTCTCGCCCGCCAGGCCCGGGCCTGCGCCCTCCAAGCAGGGGGCGGCCAACTTGGCAGGGCTGGCGGTCAGCGACAGCCCTGGGCAGGACGGAGGATGCTGACACTGGGCCTCCACAGCCAACCAGCCAGGAGAGGGAGAGGGAGGCAGGAGTGAGGCAAAGAGGCCTCGGGTCGTAGTTTGCCACCCTCAGAACGGACTGTTCAGGGAGGAGAAACTTACTTAAGAAACCATTTGCATCCTCCTAAAGATAAGGGAAGATATAGTATCCATAACATAACAGGATGCTATAAATAAGAGAACAAAAAGAATTCTTGGAAGTTACAACTACGACAGCAGAGATGCAGAGTTCAGTAGCAGGGCTGGAAGATAAAGTCCGGGAAATCACTCGGAAGTAGAGCCAGCGAGATGGAAGAGGCGTTTGCTCCTGCTGGGGGACGGCTCAGCGCCGAAGCGTGGCTTCTAGGATGAAAGTCAAAACCACCTCCGGGCAGACGAGGCCGTCCTGCGCTGGCATGTGTTTGGGGTGGAGGTGTCAGGAAGAGGCCGCTCCTCCCTACTTCCCCACGTAGCTTAGGATGTTGTCTGTCCCTTCAGTGTAGATACTCGACAACCACCGCCCAGGCCTCTTGATGTGGGCAGTAAAATCAAACGTGGGCGAAACAGAGAGGAAGGAAGAAAGAAGGAAATTAAGGGACCAGTCAAGTGAGGCCCCGCATCCGAGCAGCGTGAGGCCAGAGAGGGCAGGGCCAGCAGGGAGTGAAGACAAACCAAGACAGTTGCCCAGCCCGCTCGACCCGAGTGTCCGGGCTGCAGGTGCAGCCGGTGGGTGAAAAGCACAGTGGCCGAAACAGACCTGCACCAAGACGCGCTTGCAGGATTGCAGAGACGCCGCTGAGCTTCCAGAGGAGAGCAGCTCGGGTCTGGAGGTCAGCGGTCAGGATGGTTTCCGACTTCTCAGGAGCGAATGCAGGCGCTGCCTCCCAAATTCCCTACGAGGCCGACTCGAGCCTGGAGTCCTGATGCCTGATGCCTGATGGCGGGGACAGTGGCCCGAGGACGCTCTCCCACGCCAGGTCCCCAGCGTCCCCCTAGCACGGGCCTCCCTGGGAAGCTCCTCGAGAGAAGGAAGGGGTTCCAGGAAGCAAGACGGACGGGGACGGTAACTCAGTGACCTGAGTGCACCTTCCCCTGCGGCTGCCGTTTGTCTTCTGCCAGGGCGCCTTCCCTGCCCCCGGCTGCCCAGCCAGTCTCGTGCGGCACCTAATGCTGCAGTTGTGCCTCGTGCAGGCCTTTGACCTGCTTGATTCCTTGCGCACGGTACGAGGCAGGGGTCCTATTTCACGGCCCCCTAACCTCCCAGTGGCCTTGCCCCGTTTCTCAGCCCCCCGAGGTGGTGTGACAGGGCTTGTTCAGTGGGCAGGGCACTCAGCGCGGTGCCTGCTGGCCTCTCCTGGGAACGCCCCCCCACCACCACCTGACCCCTCTCTCGCCCTGGACGCCCACAGGCATGGGGTGAGCTGCCCTCTGCACCGGCCTTGACCTCGGCCTCGCTGGCCTTGCTGACCTCGCTGTCCCGCACGGACGCCCCAGGGCGGAGCGGATGCTGGCGCGGGGAGCGCGGGTCCCCTGCCGCCGGCCTTTGACCGGGAGCTCCTTCTCGTCAGCAGATGAGCTGGGCGAACCTGCGGGCCGCGTTCCCTGCCCTGAGCCCCGCACAGCTGCACCGCCTGCTGACCCAGTACCAGCTGGCCTCGGCCATGGGCCCCATGAGCGCCTGGGAGCCGGGTGCCCAGGACAGCCCCGCAGCCTTCAAGTCAGGTGAGGCCTGTCCTCCGGGTGGAGCTCGGAACTCGGGTGTGGCCCGGGGGCTCCTTGACCCCCAGGTCCCTGGGTCCCCAGGTGGGGGGGACAGGGCAGGACACCCGAGGAGGAAGATGGCCCAGGGCGGAGGCTCCCCTTTGCCCCCAGGCTCTCGGCTCAGGTCGGAGGTCCCCACTGCCCCTCATGGGGCCTCGCCGGGTGCACGGCCACCAAGAGGAGAGCAGGGTCTCCACACCGGGTGCCATGGCACAGCCTGTCGGGAAACGGTGCTGAGCACTCTTGCCCTGGGTGTATTACGTGTGGGGACAGACGTACGTACATATGTGTGTATATTTTTATGAGTTAGTTGTGTATCTCATTAGCAGTACGTACATTATAACACAAGCAAAAATGGAAAGTAAAGCTAGAAGTAGGGCTCCCGACGCCTGGTCACCTGGGGCTTGGACCCTGGGCGCCGTCCCCCGCCCCGTTTACTGGTTCACGTCCAAGGCCTCCCGCGGAGGGAGGGAGGGGGCTCTGTGCTGGGCGCCGGGAGCAAGGCGGGGGCTGCCGTCTTCCCTCCGTCTGGAAGGCGCGTGTGTCCTCTTGCGGAGGCCAGGACGCAGGCAGGCTGTGCTCAGCCCGGTGACACGTGTGCGGTGCATGCAGCGTGGCCGCGGGGACCTGGCAGGAGCAGGTGGCGGCCTGGGGTGCCGGCGTTTGGGCTGGGTGAGCTGGACTCCAGGCTGGGGTGTGCGGTGGGCCCGGGGGAGCCGGGGGCCGCAGGCAGGGGGCGTGCCGTGGGGCGCAAGCGCCGAATGGTGGCGCCGGAGCCTCATCCCGGGTGCTCGCTGGGACTCAGGAGGCGTGAGAGCGCCGTACGGGCTTGTGCGGCCCCTCCCGTGTCCCCGGGGTCCCACGGCGTCAGGCGGGGGTGGCCGGGCAGCTGCCTCCTGGCCAGCGGGTCACGCCGCCCTCGCTCCCGCAGAGGAGGTCCTGGAGTCCTATGAAAACCCCCCACCCATCGTTTTGCCGAGCGAGGGCTTCCAGGTGGATCTGGAGGCCGACTGCTTGGATGACAGCCTCCACCGGCACCTCGTCTACATCCGCCACTTCCTGTGGAGCCTGCGGAGCAAGCCCAGCCCGGGCGGCAGGCCCGCGCGGCCAGAGCGGCTCCAGGTACCGGGGTGGACGCAGGAGCGGGGGGCTCCCAAGGCCGCGGAGGCTTGGGGGGCCCCTCTGTCCTCCCAGCACATCGGGCTGCCTGGTGCTGAGTTCTGTCCCCCCTCCCCCAGGGCCCGCACCACACCAGCCCCGGGGTCCACCCTGAGGACCAGAGCCGCCCCCTGGCTTCCAGGGACGCCGGCAGGGGAGCCCGTGAGGCCGGCCCGGAGCGCCCTCCTCCTTCCGCGGGGGACCCCCAGGCACAGGGCCCTCTGGGAAGGCCGCCAGGCCGCGTGAGCCGCGGGGGGCCCCAGGCTGGGGACCCACACGGGGACCCCTCGTGCCTGCTCACGCCCCCCGGCACCCCGCTCAGCCTGGAGCCCGCTGTCCCCGACTGGCCAGAAGCCAGCAGTGCCTGCGCGGAGGTGCTTCTGGAAGGAAGGAGGAACGGGCCGAGCGGCCCGGCGTGCGCAGCCCCGCAAGGTGAGCCCCGAGCCAGGCCTGCGCCCGCACCCCAGTCCTGGCCCTGCTGGCGCCTGGGCAACTGCCTCGGGGTCCTTCCCCTGCGGAGCCCTGGTGTCGCGTCTGGCCCAGGCTGTCAGAGTCGCCCACGAACGCCTGTTGCCCTGGACACAGGACAGGCTCCTGGGGCAGCTGGGGAGGGCACTGCGTGGCTCAGGCTCGGGCAGCTGGGGACTCGGGGAGTCACTCCGCCCGGGGGAGGGGAAGGATGGCCCCCTGGCGTGTGCTGAGCCCCGGAGCCAATGCAAGGTCAGCGAGGTTGGTGTGGGGGCGGGGGGGCCGGAGCCCTGGGCGTGTGTGGGCACTGGGCTGGCTGGGCTGGAGGGCAACGCAGGGCAAGCATCCCCCAGCCCCGCCCGGCCCCCCGGTGAGTTCTCAGTGCTCGTGCCAAGCTTAGAGGGTGCCCTGAGGGCAGGGGTCACTGGGATCGAGCTGGGCCTGAGGCAGGACACCTCTCAGCGACCTGGGTGGTGCCCCGGCAGGGCGCCACGATTGACCTAGTGGGGAGAGAGAGGGCGCAGGACCCTCGGCGTGGGGAGCAGCCGGGCCCAGCTGAAAAGAGCCCCAGCTCCGGAGGGACAGACGTGGGGTCACCACTGAGAAGTGTGGTGGGAGAGGGCAGGGGGAGGGAAAGCAGAGCCCCCTCCTCAACCTTCTGGAAGCACCCGGCCTCTGAGAGGGGCCGGTGTCCCGGGGCAGCACAGGGTGGCCTGACCCCCATCACCCTGATGGTGGTCCAGGTCTGGCTTTTCCCTTCTGGCCAGACGGGCATCTTTCTGGACCTCTGTGAGCACGTGTCCCTTTGGAGCAGCCAAGCCAGGATGTCCCTGGGTCTGGACTCCTGGGCAGGCGCAGGCCCCCGGGGCAGAGTCTGGACAGAGGCCTGAGCCACCGGCCCCTGACCTTACCCTTCTCGCCCGCCCAGGAGACTGTGCGGCCCCGGCGGCCGAGCCCCCTCCGGCCCCCTCCAGCCACAGCTCCAGCACGGACGACTTCTGCTACCTGTTCGTGGTGGAGCTAGAGCGAGGCCCCTCTGGGCTGGGCATGGGCCTGATCGACGGGATGGTGAGTGAGCTGTGCCGCCGCTTCCTGCAGGCCCCCAGGCTCCTCCTCTTTCCCAGAGCCGGGCTCACAGCTGGGGTGGTCACAGGCAGGCGGCGGGCGGAGGCCCGCGGCCCTGGGCACCGGGGGCTGGTGGGGGCATCTCAGCAGCGGCTTCCACCGCCTGCACCCTCAGGCCTCAGGGCGTCTGTCCTGGGCCTGCGGGGACTCTGATGGTGTCCAGCGCTGTCCTTGAAGACACACTGATGACCATACAGTGAGCCCCACCGGGCCAGGCCGGGGGAGGGGCAGAGGTGGCCCAGTCTGGAGACCCCTCTGTGCGAGGGGCCCACGGAGCTCTGAGGCTTCCGCTTCTCCCCCAGCACACGCCCCTGGGCGCCCCAGGGCTCTACATCCAGACCCTGCTCCCGGGGAGCCCCGCAGCGTCCGACGGGCGGCTGTCGCTGGGAGACCGCATCCTGGAGGTGAACGGCAGCAGCCTGGTGGGCGTCAGCTACCTGAGGTACCGCGCCTTGCCCCCCGCGGCCTCCTCTGCCCCCTCCCCCACCCCTCAGCCTGTGGGAGGCCACGTCCACCCTTGGGACGTTGGAGCTGAGTAAATGGAGGCACAGCCGTCCGGCCTGGCTCCAAGTGGCCACCTCCCGCCCTTCCTTCCCCCGCATTGGCCCTCCGATGACACACCAGTCCCCGCAGGGGCTCAGGCACCTTGGGGTGCGGCGGGCTCTGGACCAGGCCGCGAGAGCGCAGGCTCCGTGATCCCGAAGCTCTGTCACAGCACGGGGGGCTCAGGGTTGCTGACTGTAACTGTCCACTTGGGGTGACAGCTGGGGGCTGGGGGGTTGGGTCGCCCCCCAGCAGGAGTCTCTGCCCGCTGGACCGGCAGTGAGTCCTCACCCGGAGGGCTCTTCCACACCGTCCCCATCCCTTCTCTGCTTTCAGGGCCGTGGATCTGATCCGACACGGGGGAAAGAAGGTGCGGTTTCTGGTTGCCAAGTCAGACGTGGAAACGGCCAAGAAGATCTGCTTCCGCACGCCCCCTCCCTAGGCGCCGTGCAGGGGCGGCCTGAGCACCTACACCTGCAGCTCCCAGGTTACGGCCCCTTCTGCCAGGCTGTTCGGTGTGGCTGCGTCACCCACAGGACACTAGCCACAGTCCCTAGTGTACATTTTATTTTATTGATATGACAGATAACACTAAGTTGTGATGCTTGTCACAGAGCCTTTGTGTTTGAAGATTTGAGTGTTATAGATTCAATAAACTATCTTTCGTATTGTAGAGGGTGGCGGGGCGTGGAGTCTGGGTGGGCACCGTGCTGGCCCCTAGAAGGGTTGCTGGAGGTGAGGCGGTGCCCTCCGAGGAACTGCTCCCTCCCTGCCAGCGCAGGAGAGACCCCTGCGGGACACGGGGCTCGCTGGGGCGCCGGAATGGCTCTAACTCGCTCCTCGCCTGCCCTCCACCCTGCCCGCAAACAAGGAACAGCGGGGGAGACGCAGACAGCCCCCGGCCGCCGAGGGAAAGGGCCAGAGCCGCCCCCATCAGAGGGGGCTGCACCCTCGGTGATGCCACACTCAGCACGGTCCCAAAGAAAGGGTCTGGAACCCCCCAGAAGGTTATAAAGTGAGAGTCTTGACCCACTGTGGGTATCCAGGCTTCCTCCCCCAGACTCACACCCCTCCTGATGTCCTCTCTGGTCGCTAAAGCCATGGCTGGGCCCTAATACCAGGCTGGCCTGGCTGACCAGGCTCTCAGTCTGCGGCCCGGCTGGTGTCCACCTGGTGGCCGTTGCTTCACCCTGGTGGGGGGGCCCGCCTCCTGCACCAGCCGCTGACCATGTGCAGGGCCGTGTTGGGTGTCACAGTGGCAGCGGGCGCCTCCCGGCTGGGTGTCGTCGGCAGGCTCAGCAGTGTGCGCCTCCCTGGGCTCTGGGCTGGGCTCCTCCTCTTCGACAGGAACAGAGACTCTGGGGACGAGAGGGTCCCGGCCAGGCAGCTGCAGACACACCCCTTACCTGGAAAGGGGTCTCGTGGAGGGACCAGCGGCCGGAAGGTGTGTCCCAGGCACTGGGCCTCGGGCAGCTGTGGGCGCAGAAGAGGCTGCAGGTGGGGGCCCGGCCCTGCGGGTGCTCAGTACCAGGTGTCCGGATTCCACCTGACCAGAAGCAGTTCCCAAAACGCTGGATGAAATGTACTTTAAGAAGTCAGTTAAAATGTGCAATGGAACCCCCCCCAAAATTCTGATAGCCCGAAACTGAAACAAGGGCACGAGTTCAGGGAGGCTGGCTGCTGACCCAAGGCCTGCCGAGCACCACCCCACCCCCGCCCCCCACGGAGCTGCATGGAGTCGTGGGGGGGGGGGACCCCTTGCATACCGCAGAGTTCCAGCAGGGAAGGGCTGGGGCCCCTGGGAGGGCTGGGGCCCCAGGGAAGGGGGAAGACCTCCGAGCTCCGCTTCTCGCTGGCAGGGAGCGGGTGCTGAGAGCCCTCCGAGCTCTCTGAAGGGAAGGACACACTTCATTCCCGGGATGTTCTTTGAGGTCAGCACTGTGATTATCCCCATTTGCAGACGAGGAAAGTGGAGCACAATGGGACCGTCATTTTCTGCATCAGTCGGCCAGCGCTGTAAGTGCTGTGAGGACAACCCGACAGAACCCAACCTCTGGAAGCAGCCACCCTGGTCCGCCCTCGGCGCGGCTGCAGTGGGCGCCCGGCCCAGGTGAGTGCGCCCTGCTCGCGCGCCATCCTCCGGGCCGCAGCCCAGCCCGTGTCCTCACGGCCTCCGAGGCCCCCGGCGGCTCTGCCGCTGTGGCTGACACGCCTGGGACAGCCCAGCCCCGCCGGATTTGAACTCGCGTCGTTGGACTGGACTCCCAGCCACCACAGAAGTCTACCCTGCAAAGACAATGGTAAGGGAACGTTTCTAGACCGGCCTTGGCTCCGTGTGAAGCAGAGAAAAAAGTCCCCTCAAAATCCGTATTCTCAAACTGGTTCGTAGGCACGTTTGAGACCCAAACTTGCAACATCTGAACGAACGACGTGAAAAAACTGAAAGCTGAGCATTAATTGGCATCCTGGCAAATTGAAAAAAAGCATTTTCTCTAGGTGTCACATCCTCAGCCCTGGCCTCCCTGGACCCAAGTCCGGAGGGCCAGGCAGGGCCGGGTGGGCCGGGCAGCCTGGGCGGGCGAAGGGCGTCGCCGGGGCTCGCAGGGCTGGGTTGGTCCCATCCTGGGAGGGTCAGGTGTCCTTTGGCACGCCCCGCACCAGTGCCCCACGGCTCTGCTCCGCGCACCACCTGTTGCTTCTCGGAAAGCATCCTGGGGCCGGGACGCCAGCCAGAGGCGTCCGCCCCTGCGGTACCCGCCCGGCCCCCATCAGCCTCCTCGGCGGCGGGTGTTTCTTGGGGCGTCTGGGGGGAAAAAAACCGGCGGGGGGCGGAGGCACCCGACCGCAGGAGCGGGGCCGGGGCCAGGGGTAGTCCTGGATGTTGGGCGCGGCGGAGCCGGCGGGCTGGGACTTTCGAAGCAGCAGCACCACCTGGTGGCCGAGCCCCGCCAGGCGCCTGGGGAGCTGGGGCGCAGCCTTGGGGGTTGGTTTATAAGCGGGGCGGGGCCTGACTTGGACGGAACACTGGTAGAAAGCGCTTGAGAGGAGGGGGTATGTGTCTCCCCCACTTGGTGTAAGAACAAAGCGCACCCGGACTTGCTCCCAGTAAGGCTTCTGGCGGCAGGTATCGTGGTCACTGGGAACACTGCTGGGTGCCCTGCCCTTCCCCCTGCTCGTAGGAGGCTGCAGGTCTGCTAAGGTGACCGCACCTCCAGCCCACCCAGCAGGAGCCCCAGCCTTACCGTCTGCGGGAGGAGGTCTAAAAAATGTCACTGACCAAACCCATTGCCCCCGTGGCAGCTGCCACCTCAGGGAGGTCGACATTGCTCCCTTTCTGACTGACCTCGTGCGTGCGTGTGTGTTAGTGAGCTGTGGTTTCTGTACCATCTGGGACATGGGCTGAATGGGGGCTCGGCCCTGACACATGGGGATTAGGTGAGAAGGCAGAGCACCAGGTGAAGGCCCCTCCCAGCTCCACGGCCAGCTCTCCCAGCCCAGCAGCACTGTGTCCCCTGGACTCCGCGGCAGCTACGTGGCTGCCCGTGGGGCTCCCTGCTTCCTGGGTGGAGGGAAAAAGAACAGACCCCGTCTTGTTCACGCAGCCATTTTGTAAAGATTTATTTTCGCCGTATCTGTCTATCTCCTCTTGCCCCCAAACAAACAAGGACCAGCAGGACACAGACCAGGCAGCTTCCACCCCGTCCCAAGAGGAGCTAAAGCCGAGCATCAGTGCTGTGTCACTATACAGCTCAGTGTGGCCACGAGAGCAGGGGGTTAAGAGAGAAAGACACACAGAGGCCAAAGGCTGAGACTGTGACAGCCTCCCTGACCACTGAAGCCATGGCTGGTAATACCAGGCTCTCAACCTGCCGCCCTGCCCGGCGTCCACCTGGTCCCTTCATCCTGGCAGGAGGCCCGCCTCCCTCTCCACCAGCCGGCTGACCATACGCAGGACCAGGGGCAGGGCCGTGTTGGTGTCACGGTGATAGCGGGGCTCGGACGCCTCCACGCTGGGCGTGAACACAAACTGGGCCACGCTGGGCATTTTCAGCAGGTTCAGCAGCTCCGTGGCCCCGACGT